CCAAATGAGATTCTTATAAAAAATAGGCATAAGGTGTAGGGCAGCAAGACACTATTTCTTCCCAGATTTTCTAGTTAAAAGCATGTACATGTTGTGAAGACAAAGGTTCCTGTATCTGTTCACTTTTTTGGGTAATACAGTAGTCCTCACTGTTAGTGAGGAAAAAAATTAACAATATTTGCTCCCTCTTATTCTGGACACTTATTGTGTAAATAAAAACTAGACAACAGATCAGGTGTAAGATTTTTAATGGACTTTTAAATTTCTGACAGGATTCTTTTTCACATTTTGCTGAAGATCATAAAGTCTAACCTTAAAAAAATTTTCTATGCAATTATGCTCCTCCAAGTAAACATCCCTTGCAAATAGCTTTTACTACTGAATTTCTAAAATATTCATTTCATACTGCATACATAAAGTAGACCCTCTCTATAAGAGCCCAACTTAGTTGTATTGTGACATTAGAATAATAATGCTTATTAAAAGTACAGTAAACCTTATTGAGCAGGAGAATGATCAATGTTCTAACTTTATGTAAGACAGCTTATTTTAAAATTTTATTTTATTTTCAAAATAAAGTATTATTAAAATAAGACTGATGAGAAAAAATGAGCTATATTACTGGGAATAATCAACAGTAATGGCTATGAGCCATATGTTTTGAAATAAGTTCCATGCCAAAATAGATGGTGGTTTTTTTTTTGTTTGTTTGTTTTTTGCTAAACTTTCTAAATACCCTTGCAGTGAGAAATTTCTCAGTGTAGACAAAGTAAACACATGAAAAGAAGCATAACACTCCAGGCTTGTTTCTTCCGTTAGGGAAAACAAGATTCCTCAGCCAAAACCAAGTAAGGGTATTTAAAGATTTAAAAACAGACACAAAACAAAACTTTACTCTTAGGAATAAAAATATTGCAATTCTTATAAATCAAAGAAGAAAGTCTAGCAAAGGTCAACATTCAGCTAATTTATTAGCAAGGTCTATGTTTGGAAGCAAATACATGAAAGGGGTCCAAGAGTAAGTATTTTATGAGAAAACAGTCTCAAAGGCCTATCCACTGGAGGTTTTAATCCAAATAAAAAGCAGTTGGGACCTGGACCTGATAGAAATACATGAAATATTAGTTGCAAAAGCACACACAGAAACATGAGATTTCTACTAAATATCCAAAAGCATGTAAACAATAAGAACAAACCTGATAGATGAGGCCATGTGGAATAGAAACAATGCACCAAAATCTCAGACTTGATGAGGTAATCTTCACATTAGTGCCTTTAGATGACTAAAAGGCACCACAGGACATAATCAATAATTCATACAGGCATAACACTTTATTAGTCCTGATCAAAAGCCCGTTTCTGCATAGGGGAGAGTGAATAAAGAATATGTTCCTTTACAGATTCTTTGCCAGTTCTCAAACTTGACTAAGCCTTAGACTAAAGACAATGTAATGTATAGGGATCCATTAAAGAGGATTAATTTGTTCAGTGAACAACTTGGGAGTCCTGCAGTGACATACATGATAATCTCCTATATCCAGACAATGATTTCATTATGCATCACGTATCTTTCAGTAACCGTTCTATATTTTTCATCTATTTTATTTCCATAAAATTCATTTTTATAAAAAGATAAGATTATCTTTCCATGTCAATAAATAAATACTGGTAAGTAAAGCAATAATGATTTTCTTCCTGAAGAAGCCTGGCAATGCATTCCATACATGTTCCTTTTTAACTACTTGGTAAGTGATTTTTTTTAAAAAAAAGCTTATTTCTATTAGTTCATAATTGTATTCCAAAATATTAGAGCAAAGGCATCTTTAGTGTTAGTGGGGGTTAATAGCAACTGCCCTGTATCAAACAGAATGTACACATTTTTGCTTCTGTTCCAGTGTGATGGTACAATCTACCTGTTCTTCATGACATAATAAATATTATTATTTTTAACCATATTCTTATGTATAAATAATGATTTGATGGAACTTTATATATCCAAATCTTTTGGTTTTGTTTAATTAAAAAAAATGACAACTGGTAATTACAAAGCAAGGCTTCCTTGTCTCAACAATTATGCATTGAAAGTATTTGTGATGCTTTCCAGAATAAGAAACTAAACTTAATTTAATGAATATGTATTTTGTTAAATATTATTAAAGCGATTGGAATTTTTCTGAATCTGAATCAATAAGAAAACATTGATTAGCAACGTTTTCCAGGATCACAAGTAGCCAGAAAAGAGTTGGAAAAAATCAGCTGCTGATTGTTTATAATCAAGAATTGGCATTCTCAGCAATAAATAGTGCTGATTTCAGAATCTCAGATTGGTTTTAAAAGGCCTAAAAGTAAACAAAAATAAGCAATCTCTATCTGTAGCACATAACAAATTAGGAATGTAATCTTTACATTTCAATTATAGAATATTTTTGAATTTATATTCATGAATGAAAAATCACACATATGCTAGTTGCAAATTACAGTGAACTAACAGCCATGAAGTATATTGTAACTTAATACATGTCAATCTCTCTTGGCTTTTAGCATGGCACTAAAAGTTCCAATAGTTTATGTTATATACTTCATTATTTATTTATAAAATATTGATTTTAATTGATGAAAAATAAGTATACATAAACTGTAATACATAAGTATTTTGATAATAACCTGGAGGGGAAATTGCAATTGGCTACTCTATGTTGGAAGAGATTGTAGTCTGAGAAAGGGGAATTCCTAGGATCTATAGCAATGCCATCTTGCTGACCAGATGTTCCATTTGACTGTGTGACCATTGTAAGTTCTGACTGTTGCATTTGGGTTTGTTATACTCTGTAGGGATACTGTTAGCATACTGACTATTCTATTTCCTAAGTCTTTATAAACTATCAAAATTACTAGATTATTTAATTTCTTTTTCTGGAGGATTTTAGTGTTCATTCTGAATTTGTCCACTGAGGAGTAGGCTAGTATTTCATGATGACCATGTCTGAACTAGATTTTGTTTCCACACATGCAGCAGAATACATATTGATATATTCTGTTCTATTAAAGCCAGTAAACTGAAGATGGGTATGCAGGCCAGATTGTTTCCTTGTTGTCAGGCATCTGTTGTCTCTCACTCTGGTGGTGATTCTCAGCACAGAAATGTAGCTAAATTAAATATGCCATTGCCAACGAAGACATAGTATAACAAATGTACAATATGAAATTTAACAGAGACACAAGAAAAGCGGTTGTTGAGTTTGGATTAAATTATATAAATTAAGGACCAGATGCATTCCACCAATGATTGTCAACTTTGCAATGGCTACTGTAACTTTGTAACCATGAAGATTTCATTCTAAATCATGTTTTTGTCCCTGAGAAGTTTCAGCTGGCTTCAAACTTAAAGAACTCTGACAATAGTTATTTAAAATCAGTGTCCTATACATTCCTATACAGAGGTGGATGAGTGCTTAAAAAGTCTTGAGTCAGACAATTCAAGTGCACTCTTATTAACTGTAATCTCAAATGAGTGATGCATTATATTCCTTCATTGTTTACCCAGATTATTTGGTAACATGCAACAAAGAATGATTTCTGAGTTTAACCTGCAAATTTTGAGATTTGCCTAAAGTGAATTAAAGAAATAACTTTAAATTTATGCACTGTTTTCCTTAAATGCAACAATAAAGCACTGTTTTAAATGCTGCAAATGTAGTCTTTAATTAGCTGTAACAAGATCAGCATGCTAATGAAAATGGTATCTAACATGACTATCAACACTTTGGGATGTGCAAATAAATGCCCACAGAATAGATGTATTTCAATTTCTTGAGAACAAAGAATATTGTACCATAAGATTGTCGCTGCAAAAAAGGTGTTAATTCAATGCAGATATGTTAGACATGTTTATTTTAATGCAGATAGCTTTTCCCAGTGTGAAAAGAATCATTTTTTAAATCTTGAATATTCTACTTTTTGCTCCTGCAAAATAGGAGTTATGCCTTTAGTTAGTTGAAAACTTAAAAAGTTTTATACAACATTTGTCAATCATATACATACATCACCAATTTTCATACAAAGGCTATTTTTGAATGTTGTTTTTAGACAGCTGGAAATAAAAGTTGGCTTTATTATAATACTCATACAGTACCCTAAAAATTTTCATTTAAAAAAAAGAATGGAAGGGGTTTTGAAAGGGAAAAATGACAAAGAATTGTCTTTACTTTTTGTATATTTAACATATTTTATTTTTATATTTTTTAAAGTGAGTCTTTAAGGTTTGTTTCTCTAAACTTTGAAAACTCTTCTAGCTAACTGGCTATTTGTCCTTAGATTTCAGACAGGAAAATAGACATTGCTAATCACAATTAATTTGGTGCCTTCTTGGTGAGTTCAGTGAGCATTGGGTTCATGTAATATTTCATAGCAAAACATCTCATCTTTAACAAGGTATACTTGTAATGGAAGTCTGCTTTGCTTTTGTAAGTTGATTATCACTTACACTAGATCATGATTGCAAGAATTTCTTATACTTGTGAAAAGTAATGTTTGCAAGATGCAGATGATATGGTGTATCATGAATCAAATTGAATCATTACAGACATTCTCTTTTTGATATTCAAGGTGTAATCTTATTTAAAATAGTGTTAAAGAGGATTCAGAATTCTATTTATAGTGATTAATGCAATTTCAGCCTTCTAGAATATATGGTAGAACAGAGAACTTTAAGATAATATTGCACTCTTGATATGAATATCTTTATTCGTACTTTTATTTTTAAGAAATATGTGAGATGAACTCTTCAAAAATTACAAACATACAACATGAATGTCAAAACTTCTAAATGAAGTTCCTATGAGATCATTAATGAAATTGCCAACAGGCTCATTGTAGAGTTGACATCTAGCTCTCTTGGCCTGCATGAGAACAGACAAACAACAAGAGTGATGGAAAAAGTGATACTTATAATACTCATAGGTATTCAAGGTGCTGACCTCCATAGGAAGTTGAAAAAAAATCCTGGAAGAAAGTAATGATAAAGTATTAAGAATTTACTTACTTAAATTTCAAGGCCACCAACCTCCACAATGATTCTGAGATCCACACAATTAAAATATTATTAAAAGAAAACTATCATTTGCAAATGTACCTATTAAGAGTCCTTTCCATACTCACCATAGTTCGGTTATAGAAGATGCAATTCAAAACTGATATATCTAGTTAAAACCGGGCCATTATCAGGCAATGTATGGCTAGGAATTTCATATTTTTATGCTTTTTTGTTAAGATTGTTTTCAGCATATCATAATATGTAATTAACAAATGAGCAGTTGTATCTACAACCCTTTCAATATTATGAAAAGTAAAGGTCAGAGACATATTCAAAGCTCTTTGCATCCAGATATTTCAACAGTTTCTGGGTTTCTTCTCTTAAAAACCAAGCAAAATCTTCATTTTTTATCACTTAACTTAAAACAGAGGATTAGGGTTATAAGAAAAAATTGTATATAAAATATAATGCTGTTCAACTTAAGTTTCAAATTGCAGTCTGCAACTAACAATACTGCTACGTATTTCAAGATTAAACCAAATGAACAAAAGTACAGTAATACTTTTTTCTTTAAATTATTTACTTTGCAGCTTGTATCAACATTTGAAGAAGTCTGAAGTCTATTTTGAAATCTTAAATTCAAAGTTTCCCCCTAATTTTTCTTCAGTTTTCCATAATGAAATCTCAGAAACATTTTCTAGGTAAATACTGCCATCTTGTGGTGATTCATCTTCAAAGCTACCAACCTCCCTCAAATCTCCTGCTAAGCAATAGATCTAGTTTGCATTCTGAAAGTTTATGTCTAGACTTTGTGAGGGAAACAAAATTTTAAATTTATTCATTGTAATAGGAAGTAGCTCTTTAATGTCCTTCCCCGAGTTTTTTCCAGATTTATTAGAACTACAATACCCAGATTATAGATGCAGGGCTTTTTTTCTCATAAAACGCCCAGAACGAGTTCCGGCACCTTTTTTGCATGGAACCTTGTAGGATAGGCAAGGCGGGTTGTATGAAGTGTGTGATTTCTGGAAGCACTGTTTCTATGTATGCTGAGTCTGCCAAACTATAGAATTTCAGTGGTTTACCCTTTTCAGATATTGGAGAGATTAAAAAATATAACAATAATAATAAAAATTCATTGAAACTTTAAAATATCATACTGAAGAAATACAAAATAACTATGTGCATATTAACCAAGGCAATCCAACATTTATTAATCAGATAAACGCATTGGTAGCTAACAAGTTAAATTTAAGAAACAAATAATTATATGATTTATTATGTCTGCTTATTTATTTAAGTCAGTATCAATGCTACATACATTTCAGTAGACTTTAACTTTTTGCTAGTGTTTTGGTTTGGCGGAGTGGCACTTGCTTTGTGGAATAAAATAAAGTATCACAATTCCTGACCTTTCAGAATAGATGTGAGAATGGCACCTACATAAAACTCTGGAAAGTCATTACCCTTATGAATGAAGGCATTTATTCAATCTGAGTTAAATACATTTCCATTTTTCTTATGCTAAACTTTAGAAATGTCCACTAAAAACAAATCCCTACCTTCATGATGAATAAGGATCCCAAATAAATGAAGTTATTACAAAAAGCAGTTTCTTAAAATTAAAGCAGAAAATTATGGAAATAAATAAGCACTTGAAGTGCTAACTACATTGAAAAGCAAACCTAATTTGTAAATATTACTTAAAATTATTAATTGGGGCAGTTATCACTCCTGTGATAATTCAATGATTAAACAAAAACACTGGCAAAGACGCAGATCCTTTTCTCAGTCTCTCAAATCACTATTTAACAAGAGAAAGTTAGCATTAGACAAAACACAATACTAACAAACAACCCCCTCCACTCCCCCCAAAACTAGCTAACATGGTTGAGCTCAATCCATTCTGTCTGCCAAATTTTCACGCTTGCGCATTAATTCCTATAAAATAACCCAGGCGTGGAAATTCATTCCTAGCTTGATACGTCAAAAAGGAGCGCAGACGGCCCCGGCTGCTCGGTCGCAGTAGCGTTAATCGCCTTGTACTCCCGCGAGAAGTGAGGGAGGTGGAGCTACATTTCAAACAGGTGGCGGGACGTCTCCCGTTTCTTGTCTCGGCCTGTAGCTTAAAGAAGGGCTTGTCTTTTTGTTTCAGTTTCGGCCGAATTCTGTCTCAGTGTTCCGGACGCCGATGGCGAAACAGCAAAGCCGGGAGCAGGGCATCACCTTGCGGGGCAGCGCCGAGACTGTGGCGGAGTTTTTCTGTGAGTAACCGGGCGGGTAGGGAGGCAAGCTGGTTTAAGAATGTGAGCCAGCTCGCTCGGTCAAAAGACCGGGACCCGCGTCGCTTCTGCGAGGTTTATTCCCAGGGATGGTGCTTGACCACAAGTCCTTTTGCTCTCGAATAAATAGGCTCGGGGGTGCCGGATTCGTCCTTTCAAACTCGGGAGGGGAGAAAGGAATGACTCCGAGTTGCGGTGGGGGCTCATTGCGAGAATGCTGCACTCGGTCCGTTCTTTTTCTTGACTATCTTTTCCTCGTTCTCCTTCTATAGCTGCGAGTTATCCTTTTTAGTAACTGCGTCCGACTTAGCTCTGCAGAATAAGCGCAAAATGCTAGGAACTTAATTTACAGTATAGGGCAATAAAAATGTGCCCCGAAAGGGCCTAAAGCAATTTGAAAGAAGTTCACTACTTAATTGTGTATAAGTTTATACTCAAACGTGGAAGACTATTGTAGGGGCAGTAACTTCAGTCTCACTAGGAAAGAAATAAGCTTAACAAAAATGAATGTGAAGAGCAGATCTAATTGAAATTTGGGATGCTCAGTTCTAGGTCTGCATCTTGGCTGCATTTGAGTTCTAAGGCACAGATTTTATTTCTTCCAAATATAGTAATTAGTTGTTAGATATGATGTGAAAGAAAGCCCGAGGATTTGGTGCAATATACAGAATATGAAATTTTATGTACTATTCCTTGATAAGTCTTCGGTTTATGACAATCGAGCCCAAAATTTGTTGCTAAGTGAGACAGTTAAGTGAATTTTGCCCCATTTTATGACCTTTCTTGCCATATTTGTTAAGTGAATCACTGCAGTTAAGTTAGTAACACAATTGTCAAGTGAATCTGGATTCCCATTGACTTTGCTTGTCAGAAGGTCATAAAAGGGGATCACACACACACACCGGGATGCTGCAATTATAAACCGTTGCAGCAGCTCCATAGTCACATGATCAAAATTCCGATGCTTGGCAACTGACTCATATTTCTGATAATTCCAGCATCCCGGGGTTGTGTGATCCCCTTTTATGACCTTCTGACAAGCAAAGTCAATGGGGAAGCTAAATTCACTTGACAATCGTGTTACTAACTTAACTGCAGTGATTCACTTAACAAATATGGCAAAGGTCATAAAGTGGGGCAAAATTCATTTAACAACCGGTCACAAGTCACTTTTTTCACTGCCATGGTAACTTTGAATGGTTACTAAATGAACTGTTGTAAGTCAAGGACTACCTGTATATGCAAAGCAACCATATGCCTGGTGCAATGGCTAAGGCGCCAGTCTAGAAAGCAGAAAACTGAGTTCTAGTCCCACCTTAACAATGAAGCCACCTGGAACTCTAGGAACATTTTTATCTTTGGGGAATGTTATTCCAGAGAATGAAGGCTGCAACAGAAATCACACTTCCTAACTCCCACAAGATGGCAACATATGATGGAAGGTACCTAGAGAATACCCATAGATCATATTGGACAGGTAGAAACAATTTTTGAAATAAGCAATCTCTCAAATATCCAATCTCTATGCCATACGTAATAAACACAGTATTTATGGCCTAAAGTTGCCAGATTGGGGAAGACTTAGGTAACAGACAAAATAAATATTAAGACAGAGGTCCCCAATCTTTTGGGTACTGTGGACCGGAGAGTGTGTGGTTTTGTGTGCTGCCTACATCCCACGGATGGGGCTTCGCTTGTTTGTGCGGACCTGTTGCTGGCATGCCGCAGATCAATACTGGTCCATGGACCTGGGGTTGTGGATCCCTGTATTAAAACAACACAATGGTTATGAGTAGTAGACCATCATAAGGTCTCAAATGCCAAAATAAATAACTTTTTCAGCCATGTATCATTTGTATTAAATTTTATACTTTTCAGCTTGCTAATTTTTATTGACATAATTATTATAATACTTCTTTTTAGATAAGATACAGTATTGTCTATATATTTTCTTCTTTTAGCCTATGGTATCAACAGTATTTTATATCAACGTGGGATATATCCTGCTGAAACATTTACCAGAGTTCAAAAATATGGGCTTACCATGCTTGTTACTGCAGACTCTGAACTTAAAAATTATCTGAACAATGTTGTAGGACAACTGAAAGGTATGATATTTTTTTTAATCAAGGGTCAACAATTTTCAGATGCTCTGCAATGCTTAAATGAAGTTACAATATAATAGGCATAATACAAAAGGAATAAGAAAGCACAAGTAATTAAGTACACTTAGATGCTGATTTTTAAAATATGGGTCATTTAACTTATCTATTGCATTTTCCATATAATGTTCAATCCTAGATCTCTTTTTACTTTGGAGCACTTTTGTATTTTCTCAAAGTTCGCTATCAATTCATTTGCTCACATTTTACTCCACTAATTATGTGCCATTGAGTTATTATCGACTCTTAGCATTGATATAATTTTTTCATAACAATCTGCTTTAACCTGGTGTTTCAGCTGTTCCAAGTGTGCTCTCATTGCTGTTGTAACTGCATCCATCCCCTTGCTGCTAATTGTCTTCTCTTTACTTCTACCCTTACCAGCTTTAGAATCTTCTCGTTAGGTCTTTGCACGTGTCTGAAGTAGAATAATGTCTGTATGTGTATGTATATTTCTCAATTCATTTTATCTATGATTTATCACTTGATGCTTGTATGTACACTAAGAGCTTATGCATTGGAGACAAATTCCTTGTGTGTCCAATCACAATTGATCAATAAAATATTCTATTTCTATTCATTGCTTTTTGTTTGCATTACTATTTTTTTTCTGTTTTTGACTAAAAATCTACAAACCAAAAAAGGTAAAGCTTCTTTGCCCACTTTGTCAACTACTCATAAACAAGGTTTCTTGATCCATAGAGCAGGTATATCACTGAAAGATATATCTAAAACATTTGCTCTTTGCTTTCCATCTGCATTGCTCTAGGCATCTCATCAGCCTTTTCATTTGCTAAAGCTCACTGAAAATCAAGCAGTCCCCCAAGGTCTAAACCAGGGGTAGGCAACCTTGGCTCTTTTATGACTCGTGGACTTCAACTCCTAGAATTCCTGAGCTAGCATAAAAGAGCCATGGTTGCCTACCCCTGGTCTAAACTAAGAAGAGACTGCTCAGGAAATCTCATCTATTGTAATCTAGTTGCCTCTGAATTCCAGTGTATGAACACACAAACAGCAGACTTATCTGCCTTGTAGCTATAATGTTTTTCAGTTGTACTCAGGAAATCTTCCACTTCATCTCAGATATTTGGGATGGACCATTTTAGCCATTCCCTTCATCCCAGAGACAAGCAATGCAATATTATGTGTCGGTATAGGGCAATGGTCCAACTATACCAGGGGATAGATAAGAATGTCTTGTGTTGTATTTTGAATTTTCTATGCTACTTAGCATACTAAGCCCTGGTTTGTTAAAAAAAAAAAAGGCATGGATTGTTGGTTTATACAAGAGTGACACATAAGGTGTCCATGTATTTGACAGTTTCTAATGTGTAGAATTCACGCAACTAACTTCTTGCTTTTCTTAGAATGGCTCTTTGAATGCCTTGTTCAGAGGCTAGTGGTAGTGATCTCTAGTAAGGAAACCACTGAAGTTCTTGAAAGATGGCAATTTGACATTGAATGTGACAAAACTGCAAAAAATGAAAAGTAAGTATATTTGTTCCCAACAATGGGTTGGTTTTCCCCCCATTATTGGTTGGTTGGTTGTTTTTCCTATTATTTCTTATTCTAAGTTATTCTTGCCACCTCAAAAGTACATAGCCAGCCCAGCCCATTACAGGCTTTGCTTTACTGTTTCTAGCATTATTCAGGTTTTACATAGATCCCCACTCAGCAGAGCATTCTTGTTCACTAATTGGTGTATATCTCTGTCTTACTACCAGAGTAAAAATCTTAAAGCTATTTCACAAATATTGACATCTGTTATCAGTTGTACTACCTGGTTTTTGTCTCAATAATAGCACAGAAAAAGTGTTCAGAAGAAGAGAAATAACACATTGAATTCATAATTAATACTGAAGCCAAAATATGCAGTTATTAGATTTAATATGAAGTTATTAGATTTAACTGTAAAGCTTGTAATTGCCACAGATAGGTCAGATAATTTAGAAAAAGTACAGAAAGAACGGACCGCAATGCTTGTCTGAACTTTTTATATGGGATGTTAATCACTTATGAAGTTAATTTATTGTGCCTGCAGTCAATTAATATTAGTGATAAATAATACTTCTGATTTATATTTGACCTTTTACATTGAGAACTTTTAATTCCTATTTTAGTGCACCAAGGCAGAAATCTCAGAAAGCTATACAGGATGAAATCAAATCCATTATCAGACAAATAACAGCTACAGTGACATTCCTTCCTTTGTTAGAAACTACCTGTAAGTAATATGGTAATATTCACATGCACTAATTGTAATTCTCACAAAAATTTTCATATAGGATGAATCCTGTAACCAAATGCCTGGAAACCAGCTGAGCTAATACGAAGCTGATTAAAGTTGCAATATTTATTTGTCATGTTTAAGTTAGCCGCCTATCTGACAAGTAATTCTAGGTGGCATACATGGGCAAGATACAATGGAATAGTTCAAGAATTACAATTTGGTGGTTTCCCATGATTTATTAACTGGGGTCACATCATAAATCAGGATTTTTTTTTATGGTTTACTGAACAAATCATAACTGACTGGTTCTTTTGTTACTGTAAGCTATACATGTTTAAATGTTTATTCCAGATTTGTGCAAATGTAGCAAAATAATTATTCATCTGTGCTTCCAGGTGCATTTGACTTGCTCATATTCACAGACAAAGAACTGGCTGTTCCAGAAAAGTGGGAGGAGTCAGGACCACAGTTCATTAATAATTCTGAAGAAGTTCGTCTTCGTTCTTTTACAACTACAATACACAAAGTCAGCAGTATGGTGGCCTACAAAAAGGACACCTTGCTGTGATTTAGGAAAGAGCATTGTATATGTATATGTACCCTTTTGTAAGATTCCTTAACCAATAGTAATTAAGTTTTTTTCAAAATACCAGCTTGGTTATCTGAGCTGAAGCATCAACTTGTAAATATACATTAAGACTAGAATCCTGTCCTTTCAATATTACAACTGAATTCTCTCAGTGGTTTCCATGTAATAGAATGTATAATGTAAATGTCATTTTTATTAAAAAAAATAAATACACATAGTTTTTATTTGGTCTTGTCATCTTCATTAGTGAAGTAATTATTTGTTTGAAGTGAAAAAACTATTACAGATAAACTACAGTCATATGAAAAAGAAAGTACACTGAGTTCTATGGTTTTACATATCGGGACATATAAAAATCATCTGGTCCTTAGCAGTTCTTGAAGTACATACAACCTCAGATGAACAACACATGACATATTATATCATGCCATATTTTATTTTACAAAAAGAAAGCAAAACTGGAGAACCCATCTGTGAAAAACTAACATACCCTTACTGTTTCTTAGATACGAAGAGGCGAAGTAGTAAGGTGCTAATCAAGTGCCCTTGATCAATTGATCATCCTCAGCAAGTGTAGCTACCTTTATGAAAGCTGAAGTTTTAGGAGTTTGCTGGTCTAAAAAGACATCAGCAATGATCTTAGAAAAACAGTTGTTGCTGCCCATCAATCTGGGAAGGGTTGTAAGGCCACTTCCAAACAAAGTCCATCATTCTACAGTGAGGAAGATTATTCATTCACAACTGGAAAACATTCAAGACAGTTGCTGATCTTTCCAGGAGTGGACAATTCGGCAAATTCGCCCCAAGGTCAGACCATGCAATACTCAGAGAAATTGCAAAAAATCCAAACGTTACATCTCAGACTCTACAGGCCTCAGCATGTCAAATTTTAAAGTTCATGACAGTACAATTAGAAAAAGGCTGAACAAGCATATGATTTATTTGGAAGAGTTGCCAGGACAAAGCCTTTTCTCTCCAAAAAGAGCTTGGCACATGGCTTAGGTTTGCAAATCATAAGACTTTTGGAACACTATCCTTTGGATAGATGAAACCAGATGTTTGGCAAAAACCAAACAGCATATCAACAGAATACAACGCATCTCATATCATCAAGCATGGTGGAAGAGTGATGATTTGGGCTTGTTTTGCAGCTACAGAACCTCGGCACATTACAATCATTGAGTCAACCATAAATTCCTCTATATACCAAAGTATCCTAGAATCAAATGTGAAGCCATCTGTCTGACAGCTGAAGCTAGTTTGACATTGAGTGATACAACAGCATGATACCAAGCATACCGCAAATCTGCAATAGAGTGGCTAAAAAAGATGTTCCAAGGGTCCAGTCAAAGTCCAGACTTCAATCCAATTGAAATGCTGTGGCAGGACCTCAAAAGAGATGTGCATAAACAAATGCCCACAAACCTCAATGAATTAAAGCAATGTTGTAAAGGAGAGTGGGCCAAAATTCATCCACAGTAATGTGAGAGACTGATAAAGTCATATAGAAAATGATCACTTCAGGTTATTGCTGCTAAAGATGGTTCTACAAGTTATTGAATGTACTAAGGCAGAGGTCCCCAACCTTAGACTGGTTCCATGGAGAGAGGTTTTTCCACGGACCGGAGAGTGCATGGTTTTTGTGCTGCCTGCATCCCACGGATGGGGCTTTGCTTGTCTCCATTTTGGCTTTCTTTTTGTAAAATAAATGATGACATGGTATGTCATGTGTTGTTTTTCATCTAAAGTTGTTATTTACCTGCTTTTAAGAACTGCTAAGGACCAGATGATTTTTATATGTCCTAATACATAAAACCATAGAACTCGAAGAGGGTGTACTTTCTTTTTCAAATGACTATATTTGATTTTGCATATTGGATACAAACACATCCTGCAAGTTAAAAATTTGTTTTTTGAAAATGTTATAAATATTCCAATGTTGACTACTGCAATAGGGCAAATAAGTTTTAGCATATGTAAACAACTATACAAAAGGTGGTAGTCATTTGTTTCAACTGGAATGATATAAATCTACCTTATAAATAGATCATATATGAAAATTGAATCCTGGACTTTCAGGGAAGAATTGGCTATTTGAATATGGCTATGCAGAAAGCAGTTCATTATTGAGGAATAAACAATGGACAAAGAGAGAACTTGAGATCACCCACAAATATTCCATATAGTTGCTCCTTGTGAGTAAACAGCAATCTTCTACAAATTTAGAGCTCTGGGTGCTTAGGGAAAGCCATCTTTTGCTCAAACCAAGGCTGACACCTTTCAAAAGAATGTTTCCTTTTCTAATCACTTAGAAATTGCTTAACGGCTTTTCAGTTAGTCCGAACCTTTGAATCAATAAGTTTTACTGCAGCAGGTGACTCTCCTTCAATCCTTAGCAAAAGTTTTAAACACAAGTTTAAAAACTTTTTTTAAAAAACTCATTGGGAATAAATAGCAAAAGGGTGATTAGAATTTTGATTCTAGAAAATTACAAATGGTCTAAGATCCAGATTAATTTGAAATAAGGTTTTTGAGCCAATTATAAGAATCCTTTCTATGGGAAAATACTTTTGTTTTGAATTCTCCTAAAAAAACAAAACAAAACAGGATGACTTATAAAGAAACTGCATAGAAAGCTTTTTAAGCATTAAACGAAAACACTCTACGCCAGGAGTGTCAAACTGGCGGCCCAAGGACCGGATGCATGATGCCCACCTGTTCCGCAAAGGCAAAAAAGTCACAATACATCATGTGACATGATCGAGTTTCACACCCATACTTTAGGCAGAAGTGAGTTGTAGGTAAGATGCAAGGGAGGAAAAACCAAAAACATAAGTTGAAAGAAGCTGCTAAAGGAGAAAATAAGTAGCTGTATTTTATTATCTTTTATTTATTGGATTTAGTTGCTGCCCATCTTGCTGCAAGCATAAAAGCTTTAACACTCAAAAGGATATTTTATGATTGCTTTTATAAAATAATTTTATATAAACTGTATTTACACACATATAGGGAAATCTGTATACACCAGGTTGCACTGCTTATTGTCCCTCAGTTTATATATTTTAAGTTTTCTCCACTGTCCTTTACATATTTGGAAATCAAAAATTATAGATATTGACGTCTTGAGATTTTATAAATTCTTTTTCCATGTTCACTACACATAATCACACTTTGCTGTTGTTGATCACATCTATTCACTTGAAGTCTAGTTGCTCCTTTACCTTTGTTTTCCTCCTCCAATTATGAAAGAGCTATGACACATTATCTGAGGAGCTTCTGGAAAATGAATGTACATCATGGAGTACAAATAGATGCCTTCCAGAATTTCCTCTGAAAACATTTATCTGAAAAACAATACAGGTCATTTTTAAAAGCATCTGAATGACGTTTACTTCTTGACAAGGAATGCTAAGAAAATATTTTAAAACTGAACTGAAAGCAAGTTTAAAGGAGGTTACAAGTGAGATGTAATTTTAGCTCAATACTGCAAATTTTAAAGAACGAACAGTACTTGTTAAAATTGGATAGATTTCATTTGAATGAAACTTACATAATTTAATAGTTTATTAAATTTATATGCTTGTCCATATCACTATCACATGACTGGTGCTTACAACAGAAAAAAAGCAATATTATAAAACATTACATCAGTAAATATAGCATTACAATTAACAGAATTAGATAAGATGGGGAACATATAATGGGGTGGAGGTGGGATCTTCTATTTAATCCATTAACCATCTCCAGAGTGGCATACTCCCATCTGGGCCCCAAGTCAATCAACAGAGCCATGTTTTGAGGCTTTTTTAAAAGGCTAATAGGGTGGAAGCAGTTTTTGCCTCAAGAGGTATAATGTCCAGAGAGCGGGAGCCAGGAGAGAAAGGCTCTTCTGGACCCCGTCAGCCAGAATTTCTTGGACAAAAGGGTCCACAGCAAGCCCCTTCTGCCAGCACAAGTGGGGTGAGACAGCTCCTCAGGTATCGGGATTTATACCATTGGAATTATACAGAATAGAACAGAATAGAATAGCCCTGACTTGAATCTTATGATATTCTTTCTTTTGGCTTATTCGGATCTTCATGACAAGTGAGGATAACAGAATAAAGACAGTCCTCATTTAATGATCACTTGTTCAATGAATTGACATATATAATGGTGCTGAACCAAGTGGTAGTTATAGTCAGTCCTTGTATTTATTTCAGTTGCACTGTCCCCAGTCACATGATTACAATCTGGAATTTTGGTGCCCAGCTCGCAACTAATATGTTGCCATGTCATGTGACTGCCATTTGCAACCTTTGCTGCCTTCCTAAAAGCAAAGTCAATGTGAAAGCTGGCAGTAAGTTGCAATGGCAACTAAATGATGTCCTTGCTTAAATGACCCACAGTGATTTGCTTAATAAAGGCAACCAGGAATGCTGGAATTTCCTTCACTAAGCAGCATGGTCATGAGATGTTGCACTTTTACGATGACGCTGAGCAATGGAAATTCCAGTCCCAACTGCCATCATTAACCAGGGACTTGCATGAACAGTTCTTGAGTTCTGCTTTATAACTGACCACCCTATTGATTCATTTGGCTATTTATTATCTAATCTTGCCTGAACTCAGCAAAAAAAACCAATAATCAGTTATTATTGAAGCTATAATTCAAAATGCAGAAGAAGCAAGGTTGGAGAAGGCTAATGGAACATACCAAAGGAAGAGATTTAGCTAATCTACCTTTCTGAACAAGTGTACTTTTAAGAAGAATCCATTGCCAAGAGTAAAAAAAACTTTTTAAATTTGACTTCACGAACACATTTGTATTTTCTTGGCAGAAATGGTTAACCACTGCCATTTTTAGGAGGTTATTTTTGACATATCAGTTTAGTGTGCTGTAACTTGCTGAATTCAGAACCCCAAAATTGGCAAGACATTGCAGTACCTACCTGAATCTAGTTCAAAAGGCGTATGAGCTGATTAATATCATTGCCTCGAAATCCAGGATTACCAATCTCTTTCTGGAATCCCATTTTATTACGGGCTGCATGACGAGCGACGGACAGATGGAATGGCCACAAAAATTTATTGACTTCATTAAAGCACTTTCCAGCTGAGTAAATTTCATGAATAACATCTTCCAGACAAATAATACCATGGTTTCCTATGGAGAGGGGAAAAAAGCATTTTAGAAATGAAATACCGTTCAATCCTCGCCAGATTGCAAAAGAAACACTGTCCCAACATCCCATGCCATTTGTTATCTTACCCAGATGTTCCTCTATCAGAACATTATCTGTCAAAGCAACCTTTTTATTTTTGATCTTTGCATGGCCTCGTTTCAGTATCAATTCTCGAATAGATTTGAGGTTGGGATACCTGTGCAAATATAAAGCTAATGATAATTTTGGAAATAACAAAAAAACTCAATCTGTGACATATTCTTAATGGAATTATTTGTCCAAACTGATCCAAAAAAGAAAAGTACTGTACTATATATTCTTGCTACCTAGCTTTTGTTTTTAAGGCATTACATTTTTATATCTTATAAACAACCTAAACAATTGTGAGAATTTCTTCTTAAATTGTCCTTTCAAAAACATGCACATCATCTCCATTCTTATTTTCTTTCTGCCAGCTTAATATGTCAAATTTCCAATGTCACAGCACTTGCAGTCTAAAATTTGGACTGTTCATCAATTTATTACCATGATTCAAATTTGAAGATGTGCGATATTCCAAATAATTCATATATAATAAAAATAATATAGTCTATTAGTATGCATTTGAATACTAAGATAAACACTATACTATTAAAACATTAACAAAAACAACTCTATTCAAATTTTGCACAACATATCCCAGTTTATTGCTTGTCAATAATCACTAAACATTCATATCTTCATATAATTATACTCCATTCATTATTTTGGCTAACTTAAATCAAAGTGTTTAGCCTTCAGATGATCATATTTTTCCAAAGGCAACAGAGGTACAGCATGATTCAAAAACTTAATTTTAGAAAAACAAATATATAGTGAAAAAAATGTTATGAACTATGTTATGATTTTAGGCATAAGTACTAATCATACTTCTACTACTAAAAAAAAGTTACATACTAACCCCCATGCCACATAAGGCTCCACCGTTTGCAGCATTTTTAATGAAGCTGGTGTCAATTTAACAAATGTGCCACTGTAAATCTTTCTTATTCTCAGCCTCTGTATCACATGTCGCACTCGAGGACTCACTCCCTTAATTCTAAACCAACAGAAGTAAATGTTGTCATTAGGCAAATCTGCATCTTGGAGTGGATTTTCCAACAAAAAAAATTAACACAGATATCTGACGATGGTGCACAATACTAAATCCTTTTAATTCAATAGCTAATTCTCAGACATAGATGTCTTGATACAACATATGCAGTAATTGTTTTCAGGTTTCAAGTCTTTCCTTAGCTTCATACTGTACAATGATCTGAGATTCTAGCTCAAAGAATTTCCCATGTCATCTGGAATTTTAGAAATTGTAGTTAAAGACACACAGAAAGCATCAACTTGGATATAAAATGGCCTGACTTAAAGGTCTGATATAGTAAAAGCCAAAAAGCAGAAAGTTATATTTAAATACTTTGTATAAATCTTAGAATTGAGGACTCAATATCAAGTACCCAGTTAATATTCTTTAGTGCTATCCTAGATAGTATTGCTGCATTAGGAATTAGATGCTCAATCCGGAGCTAGGTAGTGGTGATGAGATGCTTATCTCTGTATTACTCATTTGTCACCTTTTCTACTATTCAGAATGCTCTCCACTATTCTAAACTCAGTACTCCTATAAAAAGTAGACATTTATGTGAGCAAGTGGGTCTGCACTCTACAAGATCAAATCAAATTATTTATTACAGCAATAAAGCCAGATATAATAAAATATATAATAGAACTGTTACATACAGAAATAGATTGTAGCCATCTGTAATTTTAATATTCTAAATAAATTCCTTGCCAGTCCTTAACAATTCCAACTATCAGAGAGGGCTTTCTTCTCAAAAGTATGTCAATTCATCAGGAAGGAGCCACCCTATAAGATAATTAATTTACAATCCCTTTTTGATGAGAACATACTATCCTTACTTCACAATGTTATTTTTATTCATTTAGAAGCAGTAGCAGCAAACTGCTGTTAAAATAATTTCTACACAGAATGGAGTGTTCCTTACACTGCAATCCGTACAACAAATGCCAGTTTGTGTCCATCAGGCATTATCATCTGCCCAGGCTTATGTTCCATGCGCCGCAGACGGACATCATCTCTGTGTTTTCTCTGAGAGTCTCTCAAAAAAACTTCAAGGCGCTTGAATCTGATCTGTTTTCCACTCTGATGCTAAATAACAAAAATAAGGTTTTTTTAAAGCATATATTTAAATCACTGCATTGCTATTTATATGCTGCAGTTTTAATTAGAACCAAATGTTTTAAAAAACTTCCAATGATAGTGATCTAAGGCAGGGGTTCAAAACCCCTGGTCCATGGACCGGTACTGGTCTGCAGCATGCCAGCAACCGGTCTGCACAAACAAGCAAAGCCCCATCCGTGGGATGTAGGTAGCACACCAACCCACAGACTCTCTGGTCCGCAGAAAAACTTTTCTCCACAGAACCAGTCCCTGGTGCCCAAAAGGTTGGGGATCTCTGATCTAAGGGCTTACAGTTACAGTTAATTAG